AAAAAAAAAAAAAAAGAGAGAAAGAAGAAGACAGCGGGGGAAAGGCGGCGAGGGAGGTAAGGAAGAAGAAGGGGATTGGCGAGGAAGAAGTGCCGGCAGCCATAGCTGACCGGGGAGTTGACCGAGAGGGTTGACCGGAGGCGTTGATCGGAGTTGTCCAAAGTTGACCGAGGGTCATAGCAGCGTTGACCGGCGTTGACCAAGGCATTGACCAAGACTTTGACCAAGACTTTGACCAAGCTGGAGTTGGTAACATCTCGCCAAGCCCTTAGCCTACCCCTTGCCCTATGGATGTGCACATACCCCTTGGTACTTGCTGAGTATAGTCTGTCTGTCTATTCTTTCTGCATTCAGTCTCTTCTGTCCTAGGTCATAGTACTCTGTGGATGAAGGATAGGGCTTGGATGACGAAACCCTAGTCTGACCTTGTAGGGCTGAGACTGTGGCTGATCCAACTTTCCAGGGGGCATAACCCTCCCAACGACCGGTGCTGACCGGCTGGAAACGGTTGGTAGGACTCAGTGGGCCTGAACGGCAATTGGGGCTGACACACCAGGCAGTCTTTAAGTGTTGAGGGCCTGTTTGAACCACTCCCCTACCGGACCTAGTAAGGCTGAGGATCTGTGTCTGACGACTCAACTGTCCCGGAGGTGAAACCCTCCCAAGGACCGGTACAGACCAACAGGCTGCTCGGTGTGGCACAGTAGGCCGGAACGGCTGAGTTGTGGGCTGAAAGCACAGGCAGAACCAAGCTGATCACGTCGTCCTGTCTGCGACGTTAAATAATTCTTGCGGAGTTACGGGGGATCTCCTTAAATGCCTCCTGATCAGCCACTGGTTCAGTAGTGACAACCATAGCTTAGGTCTAGGCTAGAGATCCTAGTTGGCAGGATCCCTGTCAGGATTCTGTAAGTCTTAGATTGAGTCTATAGGTTTGTTAGTCAGGGGTCAGAGTCTACGTGGTGAGGTTTGAAACCACTAACCCGGTTGTACACTTATCACTATGGTTGAGACCCGTAGTGGGAAGGAGACTAGTCCCTACACCCCTGAGCAGCAAGCAAAGATGGCCGCCTTAGTGAAAGAGAACAAGGAGAGAAAAGAGCGCGAGAAGCAAGCGAAGCTAAAGGCTATCGCAGATGAGCAGGCGGCGAAGATGAAGAGGTTGGAGGAGGAGATGAAGAGGGTACAACAGGAGAAGGAAGAAAGAAGGAAGGCTGCTGAAGCAGAAGCGGCAGCAGAAGAAGAGAAAGAGAGAATGAGAATTGAGAGTGGAGAAGGGAGCAGTGGTGGCACGATGAAGTGGGAGACAGATACTGAGTTGGAGAAGAAGATCAGCGAGTGGGTCGCTAGTTTATCGTTGGGGGAAGACGAGGAGGCGGAGTCATATGTGACTAAGGATGAGAAGGCTGCCCTGGCCGCTGAGCTAGCAGCCATGACAAACCCGATGGAACGAAGAGAGAGGGAAGACGAGCAAAAGTTAGCATGGAAGCTGAGAATGAAGAGGGAGAAGARGAGGAGGAGAGAGGAAGTGAATAAGATGACCGCAGCAGTGGCAAAGGTGCAGGAGTGTAGAGCGGAGGTGCTGGCCCAGCCAGATGATAAGSCCAARTGGGACAAGGTACTGGGCTATCTRGAGGYRTTGAGSAAGGCCTGGATGGARGAGCGCCAGGCAAGTTGGAGCCAGGATGTAGCGTTGAGTGCCATGCGGTCTGGTTTCAGGGATTTTGCGCGCGAGATCGTCACCCACATTGGGGGCGAAGTCAAGCAATTGAGAGACAATGTAGGGAAGTTTTGTGAGGGCGCCATTCAGGGTGCCAAAGCTATAGCCGCCGCAGAGGGAGAGGCCAGGCCCCGTAAGGACCGAGTGAAGCTTCCGGATGCGTACGGGGGAAAGAAGGAAGAAAACTTTGACAACTGGGAAGCCAGTGTCAATAGTTATATTTACTTGCAGCATATCCTCGCAGAGGAACAAGTCCTTGTGGCCTTCCAGGCCCTCAAAGACGAAGCGGCTAGCTTCGCCAGGTCTCTTGCGCGTACAGTCGGTTGTGAAAACAACCTGGTTGCATATTACAAAGTCACTCCTCTTTCCCAATTCCTCAAGCTCCTCAAGGAGCGGTTCGCTGACCCAACGCGAGGTATTAGAGCCTCTGATAAGCTCCAAACGATCCACTCTCGGCAGTGGAGGAGTGCCAAGGCACTCAAGGGTACCATGGACGACTTGGTAGCCGTCCCGGACCACGGGGTCACTGAGCCCCTGCTGGTTCAGTTGTTTTATCATGCCATTCTAGAGGCCCTACGCGGGCATTTCTTGGACAAATCTCAGCAGGCCGGCATGACTTACGATGCATTGAGTAGAGAAGTCGTCCTATATGAGTCGAAGTCTATGCCAGTTACCACTTTCTGGCATAAGGACCTGGAGAAGGGGAAGAAGTGGAAAGATCGTACCATCTCGGGCCAAGTCAAGGCCAAGGATCACTTGATCCTGACATTAGAGGAGGGTGGTGCAGAAGAGGTCCCATATGATCAGATTGAGTGGGGCCTAGGGGAGGAGTACAGTAGTGTAGGGTAGGGGAGGTCTTACGCTGTTGTCGCGGCCTCGGGGAGGCCGCAAGGTAGAGGAGGAGGCCAGGGCCATGGGAGGCCGAGGACCGGGCGCACAGGGGGTTGGCGGACAGGGAAACCGCCAAGCGGGAGGTAGGGTCAAGGTCCCCCGTTAAATCGCCAGGGTAACCGGCCCCCACAACGAGGAGGTGGAAGGGCACCTCAAGGAGGATGGCACCCAAGCTTGCCGCAGAGCAGGCCCTGGGAAGACTTGGGCTTGGACCAGCGAGTATGGCAGGAATGCGTGAACATAGGTCAGTGCGTATTCTGTGGTGACCCGGCGCTCGTAATTAAATTTTGTCCAAAGTATAGACAGGCCCGTTGGGCTGCTCAGTCGTCAAAAGGCAGCCGCCAGTAGGGGTCGCAACTGCCCCTACTTCCAAGCCATGTGGAGAAGTGAGCGCGTGCGAACAGGACACTCCCAACCCACATGAGCCTATGGCAGAGGTTGCAGGCCCGTGCCTAGATAGTTGTCCAGAGACTGCTTGTGTTAGCGTCTCTTTAGGCACGTCCCTCACAGGTGTGGCAGAAGAGTTAAAGGAGAGGATGCCAGCCTGGGCCAAAATGAAAAAGGAAAGTAAGGGACAGCTGATTTTGGTAGATGTAGAGGTATTTAGAAGTAGAGTAGGGGCCCTTATAGACTCAGGGGCTACCCGTAGTTACATTAGCCGTAGGGCGCTGAAGAAGCTGAGGCTAGGACTAAAAGTCCAGAAGTTAGTAGACCCCATAGTCAGTGTCCTCGCAGACAACCGCACGATGCGAGTTGAGGACTACGTAGAGGGAGTCCAGGCGTACTTTCGCCTAGAGAAGGATGGAAAAGTGGAGAAGGTCCTCCATTCTTTGACTCTCCTCATGCAGGATGACCTTCCTTTCGATATAGTGTTAGGAATGGATTGGGGAGAGGCAGCAGGGGCCACACTTGATTTGAGAGAGCATGAGTGTAGGCTCCGTAGTCCGTCAGGCGAGGTTAAGACTGCCTGCTTGTTCCATGTGTCTGGTGTAGAGAACACCTTGGCACATTGCTGTCTCAGTGCTCCCGCGTTCGCGCGATTAGTCAAAAAGGAACAGTTAGAGGAACAGGTCTTTGTAGTGTATGTTAGACCTGTCACCGAGGGCAAGGAAGAGGTAAGTTCCACAGATCCAACCATAGTCAAGTTGCTGGAAGAATTCAAAGACCTGACTGAGTCGCCGACAGGAGTAGTGTCGCGACCCATCCAGCACAGGATAGAGATAGAGCCTGGCAGTAGAACTCCTAAGGGTGCAGTCTATAGAATGTCCCCCAGGGAGTTAGAGGAGCTTCGCAAGCAGTTAGATGAGCTCCTAGAGAAAGGTGGGATCAGGCCCAGTTCGTCTCCTTTTGGAGCACCCGTTTTGTTTGTCCCCAAGAAGGAAGGAGAGCTGAGAATGTGTATAGACTATAGGGGTTTGAATGCGATTACTGTAAAGAATGCTGAGCCACTGCCCAGGATAGACGATCTCTTAGATCGGGTGGAGGGTTGCAAGTATTTCTCCAAAATAGACTTGAAGTTCGGATACCATCAGATAGAAGTCCATCCTGATGACCAGTACAAGACTGCATTCTGGACTAGATACGGGCACTATGAGTTCATAGTGATGCCCTTTGGACTAACCAACGCGCCAACTACCTTCCAGCGTTGTATGAACGACCTGTTTAGACTGTGGTTAGATAAGTTTGTAGTAGTCTATCTAGATGATATCCTAGTTTTTAGTAAGACCCTCCAGGAGCACCAGGGTCATCTGAGGCAGGTCTTGGAGAAGCTACGAGAGGCTAACTTCAAGATCAACGCAAAGAAGTATGAGTGGGCCAAGACACAAGTTTTGTACTTGGGCCACGTGTTGGACGGAGATGGCATTAAGCCAGAGGACAGCAAGATAGCGGCGATTAGAGACTGGCCGACGCCCCGCACATTGACAGAGTTGCGGTCGTTCCTAGGCTTAGCTAACTACTATAGGAAGTTCGTGAGAAACTTCTCCACTATCGCCGCCCCCTTGCGCAGACTGCTAAAGAAAGAGGCAATCTGGCAATGGGACAAAGACTGTACGTCTGCACTCAAGAAGTTAAAGCGCGCGTTAATAGAATATCCTGTCCTCAAAGTAGCAGATCCGTCCTTGCCATTTGTCGTTACCACGGATGCAAGTCAGTATGGGATAGGCGCCGTATTGCAGCAAGATGACGGCAATGGCTATAGACCCGTAGAGTTCATGTCAGCGAGGATGCCCTGTGAGAATTCGCTACCTCCACGTACGAGAGGGAACTCTACGCTCTCAGGCAGGCTTTAGACCATTGGAAGCACTATCTGCTTGGGAGGCACTTCAAAGTGTATTCTGACCATGAGACACTTCGTTGGCTAAAGACACAGGCCAAGATGACACCTAAGTTGACTAGGTGGGCCGCAGAGATAGACCAATTCGACTTTGATTTCAAGCCAGTAAAGGGCAAATACAACGTAATTGCGGATGCTCTGAGTAGGAGATCAGACTGCTTTGGAGCCGTAGTACACTATCTGGATATAGGGAGAGACATGCAGGAGAAAGTGAGGCAAGCATATGTGCAGGACCCTATCTATAGCGACCTCCTAAAAAGAGTTAGAGAGGCCCCAAAGACCGAACCAGATTACCGCACTACAGACGGATTGCTGTTTGAGAAGACTAATGTGTTTGAMCGCCTGTGCGTCCCCAACAGCGAAGAGATCCGCAGTTTGATTTTAGGGGAATGCCACAATACTGAAGGGCATTTCGGTTGGCAAAAGACATTAGCCAACCTGATGCGTGCGTATAYCTGGCTAGGGATGAAGAATGACTGCATAGAATATGTCCGCAGTTGTAAAGTGTGCCAGAGGAATAAGTCTACTACACGCGCGCCCCTAGGTCTTCTCAGACCCTTGCCTATTCCGGATCAGCCGGGAGACTCCGTGTCCATAGACTTCATGGACACCCARRTCAAGAGTAGRCAWKGTAAGAGCCAAGTCATGGTCGTAGTTGRYCGCTTTAGYAAAWATGCAGTTTTCGTTCCTTTGCCTGCAGAGGCACGTACGGACTTAGTTATACAAAAGTTTTTTGACTTTTGGGTTAGTGAGAATGGAATCCCATTGTCGATAGTTAGTGATAGAGATAGTCGTTTCACCAGCCAGAACTGGCAAGAACTCATGAGAGTTTACGGATCTAAGTTACTAATGTCATCAGGCCGTCACCCAGAGACTAACGGTCAAACAGAACAGATGAACAAGATCCTACAGCAAGTTTTGCGCATGTACATTAGACCAGATCAGATTAACGGGGATGAGATGTTGCCTAAGGTAGCTAGTGCATACAACAACAGTGTGCATCTATCCACCTGCCGCACTCCCAATGAGTTGCACAAGTCCTTTAGACCACGCAGACCGTTCGAAGGACTAAACCGGGATCAGATTCACAGATTACCGCCCGGTACCAAGGAGTTTGCGATACAACATGAGAAAGAACTAGCCACTGTTGTTGAAAACCTCAGGAAGGCCCAGCATAGGATGATAGAACAAGCTAATAAGCACCGCCGCCCGTCATAGTTTCAGGTAGGCGACTTAGTCTGGGTCAAGGCTAAAGAGTTTGCACCTGAGGAAAACATCTCGCAGAATTTACTGCCCGCATATAGAGGACCGTCGCCGGTGCTAGAAGTCAAGGGCGGCGACGACGGACCATCCTATAGCATTGAGATTCCAGCACACCTCCACACATACCCTGTGTTTCATGCTTCAAAGCTACTGCTTTGTGTCACAAGTCAACAGTTCCCTTCGAGAAGATCCATGATCCCCCCGGATATGGATGGAAGTTATGACATTGAAGGCATTGTAAATGAGGATGTGTTCAGAACAGGAGGTAGAGGTCTTCCCCAGAAACAATATAAGGTCCATTTTGTTTATCAGGAACCGGAAGACGACCGCTGGTTCACGAAAACAGAACTTCTAGAAACCGCTGACAAGAAAGGTAAAGGTCCCACCTTGGACTGAAATGTTCTCGGAGGACCTCGAATTTAGGACGGCGGGAGTGAAACGGTTTTCACCTTTTAGGGGTAGCGGATGTAGTACCCAGGGTTCGATCCCTAGACCTCACCCTACCTATGTACAGTATCTGTATAGATCCCGAGAATTGAACCTGTGACCTATGTATTCGCAGATAGTTGGTAGGTCTGTCGTAGGTCCATAGGCAGTAGGGGTTCGATCTGTAGGCCTATAGCGTAGAAGTCTTAGTGAGTTTCGGAAGCTTAGTTGTAGACCTTGTAGAAGGTAGGCAAGTGGGCAAGTGGTCAAGTGGCGAGGCAAGTGGTGGACKAAACCGCAGTGCAAYAGCAGTACAACGTCGGTAGGATAGCGGTGAGCCCACAGTCAGTCAGCGGAAGGTCCAGTCAGTCCCAGTCCGGTCCAGCAAGTACCACAGGGGGACTGTGAGCACCAAGGGCCGATGGCGAAGGGCAGACCAACGAGTTTCTGAAGTATAAATCAAGAGGCAGCGCCCAGCCATTCATTCATTCCTCCGTGAGCCATGCGGAAGCGCTGCCACAACGACTTGTGCAAGGAGGTCTGCAGATGAGCCCGGAGGACGCAGTGGGCAAGAGAGAGGGAGTTAGCATAGCGATAGGTTAGATGCAGCGATAGCTGCCATAGCTGTAGTTAGTAGTGAGTGTGTGTGTGTGTTCGAGTGTTAGAATGATGCGTGTGGGATATCCAGGGTGATCTAGTGTGTGTGAACAGTGAGATGTTTGGGCGCTAAAAGTCGCCATAGCCAATTGAGAGTGAACTCGTATCTGAAAGCCATATCTCTGAGTTTTGAGTGGGCGCATGTCGCCAGTATGCTGCGTTGCTGTTTACATGCATGAAAAGTGTGTTTGAGAACGAGTCTGATTGCACACGGATCGGCGGGCAGTAGGTAAATAAATGATCTTTAGCGGCATTCCATCAAAAATCAATCCCAAAAAAAATTAATCAAACAATAAATAATCATTTGTCTTTGTTTCTTTTACTTTTCTTTTTTTTTCTCGTTTTTAGTTTTGTCATTGGAATTAATGAAAATTACGGACAATCTCATCAAGGACAAACCCTGACGAATCGTAATTAAATAACCAGTATTTATTTGTTTTCTTCCCTTTTATTATTTTAAATTATTTTCCTCAATTTTAATTATTATTGTTAAAATTAGTAAAAATTGTGGGTTCATTCCCTCGTAATTCGTTTAGTGTAAAAAGGGCGTGCTGAGGTCTAATGCCATATCTCCGCTCCACGACTGGCTACTTCGGGAACAGCCTCGGAGTGGACGAAAATGGTAGGAGTTAGGCGCGGCAGGCGCGACCGCCCATCATGTCGATTTCAAGGGTTAGTTTCAATAATTGATGGGGGGGGTTTAGGGATCCTCTTCCAACCCCTAATTTCTCCCGACGACTCTGACGAAAGTGTCGCCTGATTCTCCCGTAGGCACTTATCCCAAGGCCCAATCCCGTGTATTTCGGGTGGCCAATTGGTCTGCGGCCGCCCGACAAACAAGCCCAAACCTCTTCTCGACGCCCCCGTCGAGCCCGCTCCGTCCCGGTCAGACGAATCGTATAAGATTTAAACTGACCACACGTGCGCGCCTCTTATGTCTGCACTTCTCTGTCTGGTGCTTGGGTCTTTCGGGGACTCTGGGACTCAGAGGGTGCTTCTTCCCTCTCTTATGCCGCGGTCGCTTGGGCTTAGATATAGGAGTGTTTTTTAGTTTCTTCCTTTGTTGGAGTGGCAGTGCCGCAAATGCACCACCTCTTCTAACGTGGACTTTACGTTTGGGTCTTCGGTGCACAAAAACCCATTTCCTTTTCTTTCCCAGCGTCAAGCCCTTCACTTTCCTGGTCTCTACTGTGTTCCTCTTTTTCGAACTCTCTCCTACCTCCAACCGTCTCGACGGTCCTTCATCTGCAACCTTAGCTTTTCCCTTCCCCTTAGGATCTGATAGTGTTGGTGTAAGGGTAGAGGGTTTCCCTTGGTCTGAATAACTTTAATCTAGCCCCTGCCACAGGATCTTTCCACTTAGACCCATCTAACTCAGCAATCACATATGCGCCCCAGCCAAGCACACAGACTACGCGGTATGGCCCCATCCATCTGTTCTCCAGCTTTCCTGACCATATCCTCTCTAATGCTGCATCGTAGAGAAGTACCATATCGCCCACACTTATCTTCTCCTTTCTAATCCTGACATCCTTATCCCATCTTTCCTTGCCTTTCTCTCTTCCCACCGCCAATCGATTTGCCGCTGTCATGAGATTGTCCTCTAACCCGTAGACTATCTGTCTCGTTCAGGCCGCCAGAAGCTCCTCTCACGACATATTGTCCGCCCAATCAACAGTAGCCCAGCTATCTACATGGAACTCTATGGGCAGAGGGCAGTGCCTCCCAAACCAGAGAGTGTAAGGCGGGTATCCCTTTGCTACCGTGACATTAGTGGCCCATATTGCATATCGCAAGTATTTTGGCCAATCGCTATCTTTCCCTCTACACCACTTTGACAGTGACGCTATCAATGATTGATGGCCTCGCTCTACAAGCGACTTCGATTGAGGATGGTAGGCAGTTGCTATCGATACTCTAGCTCCTGCTTTCTTGAACACGTTTTGGACCTCATCCGCTAGGAACTCCACCCCTCTTTCCATCACAATCCTACTGACACACCCGTATCTAGGCAGATACTCCAAAACAAAGTTTTTGACTTCTTTCGCCGCCTTTGTCCTTATGGGTTTACCATCGACAAACCTAGTGAAGTCATCTCTGATGTTCACGACATAGTTCATATTCCCTACCCCTTTCGGCATCTTCACTAGGTCAATATGTACTTTCTCGCCCGGACGAGTAGGATAGGACGGATGAAGCGGCTCCTTGTACCTTACAAGAGATCTCTTCTAACACTCCTCACAGGTCATACAGTACCTTTCTACGTCTTTGTACCAGTATAGTCTGCGCACCTTCTCATACGTCCTTTTTACTCCTCTATGCCCTCCGACTACGCCGTCGTGAAGCTCCGCTACTATCACTTGCTTCTCCTCGGGATCACAGACCACTCGCAGAGGCATCCCTGACCCTGTGGGTCTGCAGAATAAATGTCCAGATCTAAGGCAATACTGAGTTGCCTGTCTCCTGATTTTTTAATCTGAACTCTCCTCTCACGATAGATGCAATCCTATCGTTCGGTACTTACCTTCATAAAGGTTGACTAGGAAACGATCCGTACGTCTAGGCTCAATCATAGTCAGTGTTGCTCCAACTATTGGCCGCTCTGCCTCAATTGGTATTCGTGAAAGTCCGTCGGCTACCGCATTCTTCATACCCGAGATCCTCTTTACAGTATAGTCGTAGAGTCCAATCCTGATCACCCATCGTGCAATAGTGGGGTCGGTCAGACTAAAGTCCTTTTGTAAAACTGACGCCACAGCGGTAGGATCTACACGTAGGACGAATCGTCTTCCGTATATGTAGTGTCTGAAGGCGTCTAGGCACCGTATGGCAGCTAACACCTCCTTCTTGAATTGGCTATAGTTGCGTTCAACGGTGTTGAGCGTACAACTCTCGAATCTCAGCGGCCTCTCCTTACCGTCGGCGTCCTTCTGAGAAAGTAGCCCTCCAACTGAACACGGCCTAACATCCGTAGACACTATGAAGGGCCTATTGGTTTCGTCCTCGAAGTAAGGTACTCCTAGGATTCGTCCCCCTTCTTTAAACTTTTCCTTGAGGGTCAATACCGCGAGCTCCTGAGAAGATCCCCAGTAAAATTGCTCCGTTTTCCTAAGGAGAGTCCATAGAGGCTCTGCTTTCTCCGCGTACCTACGTATGAAAATCCGCCAGTAACCTACAACTCCTAGGAATTGGCCGACTTCGGTAGCGCTATGCAACGGAGTTGGCCAGTTCAAGAGTTTATCTAGTTTCGATGGGTCTGCTCGCCGTCCTCTCGAATCACATATGAACCCCGAAATCTTAATCGACGAGACAACCCACCAGCTCTTCGTTCCACTGACCGTTGGATTAGCATCATCTAGTTGTTCCAGGACCGCGTAGATGTCTGTCAAATGCTGCTGCACGAATCTCCTGACGCCAGGAGCGACCTCCGTCTCATCTTTCAGTACGGACCCTTTTATCGGGAAGTCATCCAAAAAGACAACTTTATCAGGAATGAAGTCTTTCAGAACGACTACCATGGCTCTCTGAAAGACCGCAGCTCCATTGGTCCAACCCATAGACACGACCATCATCTGCACCAATCCGAGAGGCGTATGCATCGCGGTAAGGTGTCTATCTCTACGATCTAGAGGTATCTCATCATATCTTGAAAATAGATCGTAGACGGAGTAGATGGATCTGCTTGCAGCTCCTTCCGCTAATAGATCAGCATGCGGTATGGACCCGACATCCTGGATGGTGACCGCATTCACCTTCTGAAGACCCTGGATCCAACGGATCTTCCCATTAGGTTTCCGTAAGAAGAACCACCTATTCGCGTACGCGCTATCAGATGGCTCCACCACATGCGACGCCATCTTTTCTTTTATAAAGATAATTACTTCTTCCTTCTCCTTCTAAGCAAACTTCCATCTTTTGCGTCATTCAATGGAGTGTGCGGAATCGTATAGATCTTGGCAGGCTTGGCGTACCTAGGATCGATCCTTCCTCTTTCTGCGTCGCTCAAGGCTATGGCCTTGCCACAAGTCTTAAGAACCTCCAGTACGCGCTCCTTCTTCTGTTCTGTCAAATTTTCGTCTCCTATGTTCATCTCTGCTATCCTCTTTTCTGTTGGCCGAGGTGACTCTCTCTTCTTCCTTTCTTTAATCTCTCTAGCAATCTGTTCTCCGTCTAGCGTCGACCGCTCTCAGGCTACCGCCGCCGGCTTAACTTTTTGAGCTACAGAGATCATACCTCCGAACTCCTCATCTTCAGCCTTCGGGTAGGGGTTTCCACCCACGAGGACGCGATCACCTAAATCCTCGACTTCCAGTATGCGTCCTTCTTCCTCCGTGAGAGATATCCCATACTTCTTCTCGCGGAATCACATCGAGCGACTCGCAAGGGTGGCTGGCTTGCCTGCGCCAGCAGTTGCCAAGGCCGCTTTGTTCCTTGGATCTCGAGGCTCGACCGTCTCTATCATAATCCGACCACCATCTGGACGCTTAATAGAAAGTATCTGGCTCCCATCCGGTCGCTCTATCGTAACCGCATGAGCGTGGTTCAACCACGTGCGCCCTAGTAATAGCTCCGAACCGCAGTCCCTAACGACGAAGATAGGCATCAGTACGCGCAATCCTTCAACCTCGATGACCACTTTGTGGCAGACCCCGAAGGTCTTCTGCTTTCTCCCATCGGCTGTTTCTATCTCAAACAGGTAGGACCTGTCCAGGTTCAATCCTAATAGTATGGCGAGTCCCTCGTCTATGATGACAACTTCACTGCCATTGTCTATCACTCCTTGGAGAACTATCTCATCATTGAGAATAGTCTCAACTGTCCCACTCCCTAGAATATAAAACTTATCCGGTGGTATTCCCTCCATTCCGTCCAAATAGACTGTCGGCGTGCGCTCGGCCTTTGCGCTTATTCCTCATACTGCGAGTGTGGAAGCCATCTGGACTTCGTCACCCAGAGGAATACGCGTCTTACGGGTGTTCATCTGAAGCTCATCTCGGACGGGTCTCGAAGCAGCCAAGTACTCGAGTATCGAGCACTGCATAGGTTGCCTAAGAGCGCGCCTAAGAGGCTCCACTTTATCAATATCGTCTAAGGAGCTCTTCATGGTAAACTTCCGAGCTCCGCGCTTGCGCGGTGTCGAGCGCATCGGTCCGTCACCGCACAAGGCAGCGCGGGAGCCTCCCGGCCGCGTCACGCAGGAGTTGGTCTAAATCCTCGTCGCGAATATACGTCGAGCTTCCGCAAGACGCTTCAGCCGAGTGTGCCATCCATACCTCTCGCGAGCCCCTACGACAGGACAGGGCCTAAGTGAGGCACGACTTACCTCCACCTTACGGAAGCTGTCACCTCCCCGGTGGGCGTATCCCCGCCGAGCTACGAGTCCACAATACGAAAGCTGATCAGCTGCAATCGCAGAGGTGGACCAGCCGAGGGCATTTCTCGTTCGCTGTAGCATAGGAGGCACACGCGGTATTACGCCTCCATCGGACCCGTACGCGAACCGACATCTTGGGGGGCTGAAGTCCCAAGCGTGATTCGGCGTCGGTCGACGAGGACGTATCCCACTCACCACACGCACACTACTCTAACAGACACAAAGCTAAAACACACATACGTACACACACATACAGAAGACGACAATGAACAAACAACGTGACAACACTCCTAGTCCCTTCAGTAGTCATCCCATAACTTTCCGACACGGAAATCAGATAGGCGTCGCGCGCGAGGCTTAGTATAAAACCGCGCGGACACAAGGCCTGCTTACATCGACTAGCAATGCAATCATTCGCAAGCAGTCGCAATGATGGCGTACTATGTAGTACCCATACTCATGCGGTCCTAGTTAGTCTCGAGGGTCGCACTCGACACTCAAGTGTCAGTTGACACGCGCCTTGAGGGTTAATCTCTCGACGCTGGACAACCTCCCAGTGCGGTTGAGAACCACACCCTCTTCTGCACCCTGCGGAGAGTGGGTGGTACACAGGTTCATATCTGTGGTGGCAATCGTCTCTTATCGCCCTGGAGACCAACTCCATCATCTCGGGACTGAAAAGGAGTCAAGGGTTTTGACTTTGACGGCTGCCACGGACTACAACGTCCAACTATATAATTCTAAAAAGCAAAAATAGGCCGAAGGGCCTCCACATCCCAAAAATCACAACCTTGGGTAGCCCTACCGGTTGGCACCAATGGCCTATCCTGACTCTGGACACTCACGTACATATACGACTTACCTTATCCCATAACTCCAGACACTAGGACGGGCGAACGTCGCGCGCAAGATTTCAATATAAAGTTGCGCGGCTGCTGGCCCTTCCCTCATCAACCGGCGATGCTAGTCATACGCGGCAATCGCAGTTTCGGCCTCGTGATATTGAATGGCTGAAGGAATATATCGAGAGAGGAGAACTCACGCTGGCGGCAGAAAATCCCAGCTCTCCAATCTCTATCGCCTCATCTGCCCTCTCATCCGCCTGCCCCGCCGCTTGTGACCTCTGGCGAGCTGCCTCCCTTCGGCTCTCATATTTGGCCCACAACTTGTCAATCCTTTGCTCGCTCGTCTTGAGGTCAACTGGGGGTGTCGGCGCTATCCCTGCAGCCTCCATCCTGTCCCTCCGCTCATGTATCTCCGCAAGGCGGGCCTGTATCCTAGCAGACTTTGCCTCTGCAGTCTCATCTGACGACCTTTCCACCCTCAATCCACGAACCTCCCTGGCTGGAGTCTGCGCGTCCCTCTCAGGCTCGAC